ATTCTGTAATTCATTCCAGTACAAGGTGGCAAAAAGGTGAATTCATATTATAAAAGCGAAGCGGAAAAAAAGTGTTTAAAAAAATTATTATAATTTATATAAAAATAATAACAATATATTTTCAAAAGACGTATAATATTAAAAAAAATTTTAAGTAGTTGCGAAAAAAAAAAATTTTTTTATAATAATGGGTAAACATTATTTGAAGTGTTTGGGATGTAATATTTTGTGTGAGGCAAAAAAGCCGACACGAAAATTTCATTTGTTGTCAAGAGATGTGGAGAGGTAAATACATATGTACTTTTGAAAATATTTTAAATTTTTAGTGTTACGCATTTGTAATTAATAATTATTATTAATAAATAAAATGAATAAATTATTTTTAAATTTTTTATTTTTATTTCAATCTTAATAAATTTAAAACATATTTCTCATGAATCGGTAATAATTATATTTCATAAAGTAATCAGTATGCATACGTTTTCTTTTTACATTACTTTATTTCTATGTCACTACCTGATACTGTGTATCTACTGTACCGGGTACATGCATGTGTACATTCATTCATGAAATTTCAAACTCTTTTGCTTTCATACATTCGTATTTTTTACATAAATTTTATAAAATGAAAAATAAATTTTGTTATTATCAAAATAAAAATAACAAAATTTTTACCTAACTTAATTTAATTTTATTTTAGTTCAATGTTTTTGATACACTCGTTTGTTTACAATATTTTGTTTCTTTCTTGCCTACACAACTCTTATTACCATCTATTTCTAAAAAAAATGGAATATTTTAAGAATTTGGAAGCAAGATGCAAACGAAAACTAACGGAATGGAACGAGTCGAATTACTTATAAGTAGATATACTTTGATTTTCTCTTTGTTTAACAACAAAAATTTTGAATGAATTTCAAAATTACATGATATGAATTTCTACTACTATGTTTTGCTTTCGTTTTTGAAAAAACTGTTATCAATCACAGCATTAAATATTCATTGGTAATATCTACTACTTATATTGAATTGGAAAAATGTTGTTTAATAATCAAGCGAATGTTAAGAATTTTTATGTTGAATTATTGATCTTATGTAAATCATCCAAACAATAAAAGTAAAATGAAATGGCGCAATAATTTGTTTCACACATTTAACTCCAAAATTAAAAATGCATTTATTTTAATAAAATCTACAAAATTTAATGAGCAGTATAAAAGCTTGTACCAATGTACATAAAAAGCTTAGTTTTCAAGTCATAAATTTTAGAACGAAACTTTGATTTTCCTTAAATTTTTGAATGCAAGTCGAAACTTTTTTTATACGCTGCTTCATTTCTCAGGCGATTTGTGAAATAAAAAGCCAAATTTTATTCGTAAATTTAAAATTACGAATAAAATTTCGTTATGTACAATCATTTAAGTATATAAGTAAATAAATTTTTCAAAAAAGTTCATTTGATATAATTTTCATAAAACCTTTTACAATAAGTTTCACTTACGTCAAAAAGTAAATTTTTTGGTTGTTAAAATCAAAAAATCAAGTTTAAATGATTGATATAAATCTGATCATAACTTCATAAAAAACATACAAATAAAATAAATTATCTTGTTTTTGAATTTATAAAACAAAAAATTTAAAGTTTAGTTCCAGACTTTCATTTTATAATTCAGCATAGTAAAGGTACAAGAAAATGCTTTATGATGCACAATGTGCAATGCCTATTAAATTTTGTTCACAGTAATAAAATAGGTGAAACGGTTGAAGGGGGGGCGCACTTTTTAGGAACCGCTTAGGGCGACGAATACATCAGGCCCACGCCTGAAAGGAATTATAGGGGTTTATAATTTTTAATTGAGTTTTCGAAATTCATTTGAAAGAAAATGGATACATGTACATAATATATGCATACACATGTATTCAAATACTAGCATAATATATTGATATATTAGGTCTGTCTGGCATAAAACTTGAAAAAACTCAAATACGAGAAACAAAGGCGCAATTTCTCGCAAAAAGAAAAAAAAGTCTCAATTGAAAAAAATAAAGTAGACGGCAAAGTTAAAAAACTTTTAAAAACTTTATAAATGGTGATAAACTTCAAATTTCAAAATATTAATCAAACATAAACAAATATTTTTTGGAAATGCAAAAAACTGAAAATTTTTTTGATTTTAGATTTTGAAAGTGCGAAACTTAGAAAAAACCATTTGTGAATTCATTTTGTTTATCTTATATTATTTTTAATTAAAATTTTTTTAAAAAAAATTTTTGTTGATGACAATTTTTTTGTAAATGAAAACGTCATCATTTTCTCTCACTTTTGTTCAAAAAGTATTATCCCAGGCGCTTTCCATGCAAAAGCTTTATAAATTTTTGGAAATTTTATAGTTTTTAAAAACCTTATACTTGACAGACTTATTATCAACTTGTTATAGGGGTTTTATCACTATGCATTTTTTCAAGTACTTTCCAAAAAGTACAATTTTAAAAAATATAGGAATCAGGACATTGAACACAAAGTGAATAAAATTTCTTGTTTAGAATGTTAACAAGACACATTTGTGAATATTCTATAAATGCAAAACCAAATACGAACACTTAATTATTCCTAATAATTTTTGTGTTTTATTTTATTTTTACATTTTTAGTCTTTTTGTAACATTTTCAGATTAAATTAACCCTTAAACTTTTTGCGAATAGAATTAAACTTTTTGCGAGTTGAAATAAACTTTTCAAGTAAAATTAAACCTAGAAAAAATGAAATGAAAATCAATGACATTTAAACGACATATCACAAAAATTGTTTTACATATTGGTGCACAAACTAATATACGAATATGTGTATACGTATATGTGAAAATATGTATGTATATAATTGCATTACATCTATTTCAAATTTAACATTTATTCTTGCTTAAAATAAAAAACAATAATGTCCATAATTTTACTTGTAATTACAATGCTTTAATGTCTTTACATTAAAAAAATTTAAATGTAACGTACGAGTATACGAGTATACCTATGTATTTCTAATTTAAAAAGTGAGAAATGGACATGAATAACCTACCACCTTTCAAAAATGAGATAATCATAAAACTATTTAAATTTTGATAACAAAAGTGATCTGCATAAAATTAAAAAAAAGCAAAAAAACTACATGTTGACAAAATCAGAATTATACTTTATAAAAAATAGATGCAAAAATATTTTGGGGATATCTGTATTAAAACTATAATTTTTACTTATTAAAAGTACTTAATAACATTTTTTAAAAAAATTACTTCTAACGAAATGAACTGTTTATTAGTGTCTAAAAGCTGTTCAAATTTCAGACTCCTACAACGTACGGTGTGGAAGAAAACGGTAACAAAAATTAAGAAAAAAACGCTGGCTTTGGATACCGGTAAATTTTAGCGGCTACCGGTAATTAACAGTTAATGTTAATTTCAGTTTGACAATGCTTAGAGCAAAGAAAAAGATTTACCTAAAGTTTTTGATAAGATACTAATTTTTACAGAGAGTAGAAACAACGATGTTCCTTTCTTTAGCATTTCTAATTCAATGGTAGATACACAGTTTGATTTAATAATATGTATATATACTCCACTTATATGACTGCTTCAAGCGTACATATTTGAAGCCTCCATGTCTATATTAAAATGGTACTTGACTTAAAGACAGCTATCAAATATAGTCAATAAAAAATTTTGCCTATCCCGTTTGATCGCGTGATAATGTATATCGGATACTCATATCGGATACTGAACTTTTTATACTGGGCACAATAAAAATTTTCTGTTTTTTTTTTCTCGTAATATTTTTTACAAGTACGGCAGTAATAATAATGATAATTGTTGTGATCATACTGATTCCAATGGTGGTTAATGCTTGATGGCTGAACAGAAGGTGATCAAATTTGCGAATATTTTTTTGATGTAAATCTTACAAATATTCCAAGTTAAATTTGGTTCCACTTTGTGTTACATTTTAGTGAAGCAGCTTTGATATTAGATACTTTGTTTCTATTTCTGTATTTCAAAGGATTTTCCTTTGATTATGATAGTCTTATTATGATACTGAATAAGATAGTTGTCCTTAAGTTGCATTGTCGTATTAAAGTTATCGATTTCTCCATTAAGTTTGCTAGAAAGATTGTATTGTTGTTGGCGTTTTTTCCTCTTATTAATTTATATATGCAGTGCGTTTCGTTTAACTTCTCCAATTGATTCTTTCTGCAAGTGGTTACATTTTTAAAAAGACTGCATTCTCCTATTATTTCAAATGATTCGTCTTTGGTGTTCAAAGACAATTTATTGCTTATTGTTGTTGATTGTGGACCTAACTTCAATTTCATTTATGCAATGCAGAGCTTTAGTATCTTCAACTAATTGATGTCATTCTTATTAAGTAAATTAGTGTTTACAATTCCTACTTTAGCTATTTGAATTGCTAGAGTGATTTCCTTTATTTCCTCTTTTAAGATTGTAAGACCATTAAATATTGTCTGAGAATAATTTTCTCTCGATTCTAATTGTCTTATGATGGAATTGTAGCCATTAACTATTTCTTTTGCGATATTCGTTAGTTCTCTGTTTATTTTATACTGCTGGTTATTGTTGTCTATTTATTTTTTGTTTATTTATTTATCTACTTATTTATTATTATTCCCGATTCATTGCAGAATGAATTACAATAATAAACATTTTATAAAAAATAACAGACAAAAGCGGACAAGACTATGTCAATTCGCATGCAAACAACAACTACAAATAAGTACAGATTTCTAACGAAAAAATATTTGTAAAGGTAGATGGAGGTGCAAGGATTGAGGACGCGAATACATATCCCAATCAAATGGCAACCTCACCTGCCCGTGGTGCTCCCTGCTTTTACGAACGAGGCTCTGCCGACCCAGTATCTGGGGGTATATCCAGATCACCCTCTTCTAAGGGGTTATAATACTTAGAACTGGTCCTCCTGGTAGGGGGTTGGGCGCAATGCTTACAACTTTGCCTCGTAAAAAACAACCTGTAATGAACCTGCAAACAAGGCCTCGGAACGATAATAGGATTTTACGGTACAGACCAATGCATTCACTCACGGATATTGATTTGAAAATTTCGACATGGAATATTTTGACAATGTTGCAGCCTGGTAAAATGGCTGAAATAGCTGCACAACTACTAAAGTACAAAATAAATGTAGCTGGACTACAAGAAATAAGATTCTCCGGGCAAGGAGAAATAAAGAAAAAAGATTTCTCTTTATTCTATAGTGGAGCAAAGAGGCCCGGTCAGTTTGGTACTGGCTTTTTCATAGACAAAAACACAAGAAACTCTATACTAGAATTTGAAGCAGTAAATGATAGAATATGTTACATGCGTCTAAAGGGAAAATTTCAAAATATGTCCTTTATGGTAGTGCACGCTCCCACTGAAGATGCTGAAGAACAAATAAAGGATGATTTTTACGACACACTGGGGAATTTCTGTAACAGAATCAGTCGTCATGACATTATCATTCTTTTAGGTGATTTTAACGCCAAGATAGGCCAAGAAAGCTTCACCTCCGATGTGTGTGGAAGGTACTCCCTACACGATGCCACAAATGAAAATGGTATGAGAATTTGTAATTTCGCAGCAAGCATGGGTTTGTGGATCAGCAGTGTATCTTTTCCCCACAAAAATATTCACAAGCAAACATGGAAAATTCCCGGATCTACAAATGCAAACCAAATTGATCATGTATTAATTGACAAACGACACGCAACATCAATAATTGACGTAAGATCATTTAGAGGTGCAAATTGTGATTCTGATCACTTTTTGGTCGTTGCCAAACTGAGACAGAGAATTTCAAAAGTAATAAACAAGAACGCTTTTAGAAGAACCATCTGGGACACTGAAAAAATAGTAGAAAACTTAGAACTAAGAGCGAGCTATCAGAGCTCTATGGCAACAAAACTGAACAGCTGGCAATACAGTGATGATGAACCTGTCTCCGAAAACTGGTCGAAACTAAAAAATGCCGTAACTGAAACCGCAGAACGAATAATAGGCAAAAAAATTACAAGTAATAACGATTGGTATGACCAAGAATGTGCAATAGTCAATGAAATCAAGAACCAAGCGCGTACTAAATACCTTGAAAGGCCTACCCGAAGTAATCTCTTACGCTATCATGAAAAAAGAAAAAATGCTAAGCAAATTCTAAAGCGTAAAAAAAAAAACGAAATTGAGACAGCAAATAGAACAAATTGAAAACGACTTTAATCAAAATAAAACGAGAAACATGTACCAAAACATAAGAAAACAAATAAAAACATTCAAGCCCAGGACAAATGTCTGCAAAGATAAAAACGGTGCAAGAATAAGGGAAAAGGACAAAATATTGGGGCGATGGAAAGAGCATTTTAACGAAGTGGTAAACAATAATAATCTAGATTCAAACGTAGGAAATTATAGCACCGAATTGATATATTACACCGTTGAAAACGAGATTCATCCTCCCACTATATATGAAGTTGAGGAGGCTCTCAATAGGCTAAAGAACAATAAATCCAGTGGCGAGGACTCTATTGTGGCCGAATTATTAAAATATGGTGGTGTTGAACTGTGCAACAAAATGCATGCCTTGGTCGTTCAAATCTGGCGGAGCGAAATTCTACCCAAAGAATGGCTGACAAGTATAGTTGTTCCCATACACAAAAAGGGCGATAAAACAATATGCGACAACTACAGGGGTATATCGCTTCTAAATGTCGGCTATAAAGTATTTACGAACATACTCTACAAAAAAATGAGCGCTCTCGCAGAAGAAATCATAGGGGATTACCAAAGTGGTTTTAGAAAGAATAGATCCACGACGGACCAATGTTTTATACTAAATCAAATTTTCGAAAAATTTTATGAATTCTCTGTTGATATACACTGTCTTTTTATTGACTTTAAGCAAGCTTTTGATTCCGTGTATAGAGAAAGGATATACCAGATACTACAGAAAAGCGGTATTCCTAAAAAACTGGTTGATTTAGTTAGATGTACCCTAACCGGAACATTGGCGAAGGTACTTATCCAAGGAAGTTGCACTGAGCCCTTCACTGTTGCATCGGGGGTAAAACAAGGGGATACGTTATCTACTTTAATATTTAACTTGGTTTTGCACGAAATTATAAAAGATATAGATCCTGGAGGTTCAATTTTTAATAAAAGTACACAGGTTTTGGCATATGCAGACGACGTTGTAATAATAAGTACAAGATTAGATGAACCAAAAAACAGTTTCGAAATATTAGAGAGGCAAGGAAAAAATATTGGACTAAATATTAACCCAGAGAAGACTAAATATATGCTGCGAACAAAATCAACCAGACAAGGTCAAGATTTAATTTTGGGAAATCAGCGCTTTGAAGCTGTAAAAGAATTTAAATATTTGGGAATGATTTTTAGTAACCAAAAAGACTGTAGCAGAACTGTAGCAGTTCAAGAACGAATTCAAGCTGCAAACAGAGCCTTTTTTGCCCATATAAAACTGTTCAGATCCAGGCTTCTAACGCAAAGCTTAAAATTGAGAATGTACAAAACACTTATAAGACCAATTCTCACATATAATTGCGAAGAGTGGACTCTGAAATCCACAGACACAAATATGATTGCCTCCTTTGAACGTAAGATATTAAGAAAGATTTTTGGCCCAATAAGGATGGAAGAAGGAACCTATAGAATTAGATATAATAATGAGCTAGATAGTTTAATTGATGGCCAAAATGTAATACGTTTCATAAAATCAAAAAGAATACAATGGTTAGGACACTTTGTTCGCATGCAAGAAGAGAGAGCCGTGAAAAAAGCTTTTAGTCGTATACCCCAAGGAAACAGAGGGCGCGGGCGCCCACGTAAAAGATGGCTAGAAGCAGTAGAAAAAGATTTACTCGAAATGCAAGTTAACAATTACACACAAATAGCGAAACAAAGAGATCGTTGGAAGGCAATAGTTGCAGAGGCTTTGGTCCACCCAGGACTGTGACGCCGAGAAGAAGAAGAAAGGTAGATGGAAAATACCAGGAACAAATGAAGTAAATCAAATCGATCATGTAGTAATATGGAAAAGGTGGGTTTCATCAATTACAAATGCGAGAACATTTCGCGTTGCTAATTGTGATACCGACCATTTCCTAGTTGTTACATAAATGAGACAAAGCATATCATATATAGTAAAAAGAGGAGGAACCAAAAAATTAGACGGGACAATGATAAATACGAGCAAACCATATCAAAGAACAATATCAAAATGTCATGAAAAATAGAAATGGAATGGTTCGACGAAGAATGTGAATGTTTTATAAAAGACAAGATCAGAGACAAACTACGCCTACCAAATATTGTCGAATATTTTATATTAGAAAATTAAGCCAATATATGAAGAACAAATTGGAGAATATCAGGCCGGTTTTAGAAGCCAAATCAGTTACATTCCATAAAATGTAATCCATAAAAACTTATGTATATACATACACACTTAGTCAATTTTAGCCTGTAATTTTCAAAATGAACATAAGCTATTATTGACATAGATATGTATGTTTATTACTAAATTCACTGACAAAAACACCAGCTGATATTTTACCCTTAGAAATATTTTTATCCATAATCAAGTTTTTATTTTCATAGTGAATAAAGCTGACCCAAACTACTTTATTGTTATTTTTGTGTACATTTTTTATGATGCTAAAGTCTGCTAACCTTTAGAGAAACTTTTTCTTCAACCAGGCATTTTATTTGAAATTCAAAGAATATAATTCTTGAATGAGAGCTAACAGATGAGAGAGCAATAAATTAGTATTGTTATTGGTAATACTACAGTATTTAATACTAATAGTATTTTAGAGGAATTGATAGAAAAAACCCAGTCAACAGAGAGAGCTTCCTTATGCAAATTGATACACATGATGAATCTAAATGGAGTCACCGCATTGAATTAATAGCTGATTTCTCTCAACTTTTTTTTTTGCTTTCACAAGATGGCGATTTATGCAATTAAACATTACGCCTGCGTGTATTTATACCAAAAACTTTTATTTTTATTATTATTTTTTTAATGCTAAGAAACAGTACTAGCAAAGAAGTGTTTATTTATCTTAATGAAGTGTTTATTCCTCAACATCAGTTTGTTTTGACTGTTTATGATGCAATCTCGTTTGACTGTTCCCGTGATGCAGCGTTTCTTCGATTGTTCAGATTTGGATTGTTTGAACTAACTTCAGACTGCAATTTATCACGTTGGCTTTATTCTGTTTGATGATTGTAATTGGATCCTGAATATTGAAAATATTTGGGATGCATCTTATTTACTGTAGTTTTACCATAAAAATAGATTTTTAAATTATGACTATGATCAAAAAAAATAATTGACGAGTTCGTGTCAATCAATATTTTTAATTTCAGATTTGTGTATTCTTTTGCCACTATTTGTAGTTATGTTCTCTTTTCCTTCCTTTACTCTCTATTGCTAAGAGCAAAAAAAAGTGGCTGGTGATCCGTTAATATTTTTATTTTTTGGCGACGTAGATTAGCTGATTAGCCAAAGTTACAAAAGTTCATAGGGACCTTAAGCTCTTGACAAACAAGTTCATTAATACGCTAATAACGTCTTCTTTATGTTCATTAATACGCTAAGTTCATGAATACGCTAATAACGTCTTGAACATTTAGTCAACCCCTCGCCGACAGCCGTGGTCTCTGCAGACAATATTTTAATATTCCTGCTGTACTTTTCATATTGGACTTTTCGTATTTATTTATAAGACAATTGATACCAGCCACATTTTTTTACTGCAGTCCGTCTGAAATCAGACGCAGATCACGAAGCCGCCCATTTTGGATCAAAGGCGTACCCAAAGCATGCCTGCTGTGGGCATTTTTACTCCCCAAACCCACTTAGGGGATATTCTTCATGACATAAAAGGAGTGATAATCATCATGAAGAATTTCAAAGGATTTTCCTTTGATTATGATAGTCTTATTATGATACTGAATAAGATAGTTGTCCTTAAGTTGCATTGTCGTATTAAAGTTATCGATTTCTCCATTAAGTTTGCTAGAAAGATTGTATTGTTGTTGGCGTTTTTTCCTCTTATTAATGATTTTTTCCTCTTATCCTCTTATTTATTGATTCTTTCTGCAAGTGGTTACATTTTTAAAAAGACTGCATTCTCCTATTATTTCAAATGATTCGTCTTTGGTGTTCAAAGACAATTTATTGCTTATTGTTGTTGATTGTGGACCTAACTTCAATTTCATTTATGCAATGCAGAGCTTTAGTATCTTCAACTAATTGATGTCATTCTTATTAAGTAAATTAGTGTTTACAATTCCTACTTTAGCTATTTGAATTGCTAGAGTGATTTCTTTTATTTCCTCTTTTAAGATTGTAAGACCATTAAATCTCTCTCTCTCTCTGCTTCCTTTTACCCTGTTCAGGGCGTGGTGGCACTATGTGTTTAATCTTCGATGTTATGTTTTAGATACTCCTTCCAAGCATTCCGATCTTGCGCAAGGTGAGTTGATTCTGCAGCAGTTTTGTGTGTTAGTTTTCGTACTTGATCTATCCATCTATTAGGTGATCGACCCCTAGCTCTTTTTCCATCAACTTTTCCCTCAACAATCAATTTTTCCATTTTTCCATTACGCCTAGCAATATGGCCAAAATATCTCAAATATGACTCGCTAATTTTCTTCATCAGTCTATGGTTAACATTTAGCTCTTGTAATACCGAATTGTTAGTGCGGTGTTCTGTATATGGTATTCTAAGCACTCTTCGGTACACCCACATCTCAAAGCTCTCGATTTTTTTCCTGTCGCTTTTCTTTATAGTCCATGTTTCTGCGGCATAAGTTGCTATGGGGAATATCAGAGCATTTACTAGTTGACACTTTGTATTTTTACTTATGTTTCTGTCTTTCCAAATCTTCGTTAACTTGACTGTTTGTGTTCTTGCTATTGTAAGCCTCCGCTTTATTTCGTCTGAGCAGCTCCCATTGTTTGAAATTACGGAGCCCAAATAGTTAAACTTACTTACGACTTCATACCCAGCGGCCACAGTCATATTTGGTTGATTATTTAGCGCTCTATCTATAATCATTACTTTTGTTTTTCCTACGTTAATTTCTAAACCGTATCTGCTACTTATTGTTGTTAGCTTTTGCATAACGATACCTAGTTCGGATTCATTTTCGGCTAGAATGAGTGTATCATCCGCCTAGCGTAAATTACTTATTTTTCTTCCACCAACAGATATTCCGCCTTCCCACTCATCTAATACTTCCCTCATTATATATTCGGTATAGATGTTAAACAGCAATGGTGAAAGTATGCAGCCCTGCCTTGTGCCCCCCTTTGTTGAAAATGTGTTTGACGTTATTTGGTTGACTCTAACCGTTGCGGTGTTGTTGTTATACAGGCTGTGAATTATTTTTACCAAATGACCAGGAACCCCCATCCGAGTCAGAATCATCCACAGCGATCCCCATTTGACGCAGTCGAAGGCTTTCTTGTAGTCAACAAAGCATAAAAAAGCGGTCAAATTGTACTCCCTAACTTTTTCGATGATCTGCCGTACATTTAATATTTGTTCTCTAGTTCCTTTCCCGGGGACAAAGCCGCTTTGTTCTTCTGATATTTCTGGCATGAGGAAGGTTTTTAATCTTTCATGTATAATATGTAGAAATACCTTTTAGTTTGAGCATATCTGAGGAGAGCCTTTTTTATAAATTGGTATGAATATAGAATCCACCCAGTCATCTGGCCATACCCCTGTTTGCCATATAATATTACACAGGGCCAATAAGTGATCTATGGCATGATCTTCCATTACTTTCAAGATTTCTGCAGTTATTCCATCTAGTCCAGCCGATTTTCCGCTTTTTAGTTTATTTATTGCGCTTCTTACCTCAGATTTTATTATTTGTGGTTCCAGTTCTTGCTCAAACTGCAGATTTGACACATCATTAACACTGGTACTGAACAGTTTTGTACAGTATTGTTTCCATACTTCTGCAACTTCTTTCTCATCTGTAAACGTTTTTCCATTTTCATCTTTTATGATTTGTTTTTGAGGATTGAATTCTTTCACCAGATACTTTACCGTTTTAAATAGTTCTTTTGTATCATTCTGTGTGGAGTATCTCTCTAAATCGGCACAAACTTTCGCAATGTGGTTGTTTTTGTCCATGAAGCAAGCTTTTTTAATTTGTTTGTTCAGCTTTTTGATTTCTTCTGGACTCGTAGTTCTACCGTGGTGACGTAATTCTCTTCTCTTATCAACAAGCTGCAGCGTGGTATTTGAAATCCAGTGTTGTTTTTGTTGCCTCTGTATCGTTCTGCTTTCTATTGCGGCTGACACTATCCATTTTTTGAACTTGTTCCAATATTCATTTGATCCTTCAGTTTCTTGTATGTTATCAGGTGACGTTGAAATTAACTTTTGCATAAACCCATCCCTATCAGTAATCGTGAGTTTTTGCCCCTGCTGCGATCTACTTATGCAATGAAGTTTAAGCATAAAGTTGCATACCAGTAACTTGTGGTCGGTATCACAATCTGCACCAGGTCTAGTTTTCACGTTTCGTACAGAAGTTCTCCATCTTTTACGGATCAATATGTAATCTATTTGATTTTTATATATTTGGTTCGGATGTGTCCAAGTAGATAATCTACGCGGATGATGCTTGAACATGGTATTCATTATAGAGAAATTGTTGTCTATAGAGAATTGTAACAGGCGTTCTCCTCGTTCATTCCTATCTCCAATGCCATAAGCTCCAACAACATCTTTCAGTTGTTCGTCATATGTTTTGCCGACCTTAGCATTGAAATCTCCTATAATAAGCAACGGTTCCTTGTTTGGTACTTTTTTACACGCTTCTTCTATTTTCCCATATGTTGCCTCAATTTCTTCATCTTCTGCTTCAGATGTCGGCATATACACTTGTATTATATGGAGACACATAGGTTTAGCATTTACAATCAATATTTACAATCGTGTCAATCAATATTTTTAATTTCAGATTTGTGTATTCTTTTGCCACTATTTGTAGTTATGTTCTCTTTTCCTTCCTTTACTCTCTATTGCTAAGAGCAAAAAAAAGTGGCTGGTGATCCGTTAATATTTTTATTTTTTGGCGACGTAGATTAGCTGATTAGCCAAAGTTACAAAAGTTCATAGGGACCTTAAGCTCTTGACAAACAAGTTCATTAATACGCTAATAACGTCTTCTTTATGTTCATTAATACGCTAAGTTCATGAATACGCTAATAACGTCTTGAACATTTAGTCAACCCCTCGCCGACAGCCGTGGTCTCTGCAGACAATATTTTAATATTCCTGCTGTACTTTTCATATTGGACTTTTCGTATTTATTTATAAGACAATTGATACCAGCCACATTTTTTTACTGCAGTCCGTCTGAAATCAGACGCAGATCACGAAGCCGCCCATTTTGGATCAAAGGCGTACCCAAAGCATGCCTGCTGTGGGCATTTTTACTCCCCAAACCCACTTAGGGGATATTCTTCATGACATAAAAGGAGTGATAATCATCATGAAGAATTTCAAAGGATTTTCCTTTGATTATGATAGTCTTATTATGATACTGAATAAGATAGTTGTCCTTAAGTTGCATTGTCGTATTAAAGTTATCGATTTCTCCATTAAGTTTGCTAGAAAGATTGTATTGTTGTTGGCGTTTTTTCCTCTTATTAATTTATATATGCAGTGCGTTTCGTTTAACTTCTCCAATTGATTCTTTCTGCAAGTGGTTACATTTTTAAAAAGACTGCATTCTCCTATTATTTCAAATGATTCGTCTTTGGTGTTCAAAGACAATTTATTGCTTATTGTTGTTGATTGTGGACCTAACTTCAATTTCATTTATGCAATGCAGAGCTTTAGTATCTTCAACTAATTGATGTCATTCTTATTAAGTAAATTAGTGTTTACAATTCCTACTTTAGCTATTTGAATTGCTAGAGTGATTTCTTTTATTTCCTCTTTTAAGATTGTAAGACCATTAAATCTCTCTCTCTCTCTGCTTCCTTTTACCCTGTTCAGGGCGTGGTGGCACTATGTGTTTAATCTTCGATGTTATGTTTTAGATACTCCTTCCAAGCATTCCGATCTTGCGCAAGGTGAGTTGATTCTGCAGCAGTTTTGTGTGTTAGTTTTCGTACTTGATCTATCCATCTATTAGGTGATCGACCCCTAGCTCTTTTTCCATCAACTTTTCCCTCAACAATCAATTTTTCCATTTTTCCATTACGCCTAGCAATATGGCCAAAATATCTCAAATATGACTCGCTAATTTTCTTCATCAGTCTATGGTTAACATTTAGCTCTTGTAATACCGAATTGTTAGTGCGGTGTTCTGTATATGGTATTCTAAGCACTCTTCGGTACACCCACATCTCAAAGCTCTCGATTTTTTTCCTGTCGCTTTTCTTTATAGTCCATGTTTCTGCGGCATAAGTTGCTATGGGGAATATCAGAGCATTTACTAGTTGACACTTTGTATTTTTACTTATGTTTCTGTCTTTCCAAATCTTCGTTAACTTGACTGTTTGTGTTCTTGCTATTGTAAGCCTCCGCTTTATTTCGTCTGAGCAGCTCCCATTGTTTGAAATTACGGAGCCCAAATAGTTAAACTTACTTACGACTTCATACCCAGCGGCCACAGTCATATTTGGTTGATTATTTAGCGCTCTATCTATAATCATTACTTTTGTTTTTCCTACGTTAATTTCTAAACCGTATCTGCTACTTATTGTTGTTAGCTTTTGCATAACGATACCTAGTTCGGATTCATTTTCGGCTAGAATGAGTGTATCATCCGCCTAGCGTAAATTACTTATTTTTCTTCCACCAACAGATATTCCGCCTTCCCACTCGTCTAATACTTCCCTCATTATATATTCGGTATAGATGTTAAACAGCAATGGTGAAAGTATGCAGCCCTGCCTTGTGCCCCCCTTTGTTGAAAATGTGTTTGACGTTATTTGGTTGACTCTAACCGTTGCGGTGTTGTTGTTATACAGGCTGTGAATTATTTTTACCAAATGACCAGGAACCCCCATCCGAGTCAGAATCATCCACAGCGATCCCCATTTGACGCAGTCGAAAGCTTTCTTGTAGTCAACAAAGCATAAAAAAGCGGTCAAATTGTACTCCCTAACTTTTTCGATGATCTGCCGTACATTTAATATTTGTTCTCTAGTTCCTTTCCCGGGGACAAAGCCGCTTTGTTCTTCTGATATTTCTGGCATGAGGAAGGTTTTTAATCTTTCATGTATAATATGTAGAAATACCTTGCTGGCGTGTGGTATAAGTGCAACTGTGCGATAGTTTGAGCATATCTGAGGAGAGCCTTTTTTATAAATTGGTATGAATATAGAATGCACCCAGTCATCTGGCCATACCCCTGTTTGTCATATAATATTACACAGGGCCAATAAGTGATCTATGGCATGATCTTCCATTACTTTCAAGATTTCTGCAGTTATTCCATCTAGTCCATTCATTTCTGCAGTTATTCCATCTAGTCAAGTTTAAGCATAAAGTTGCATACCAGTAACTTGTGGTCGGTATCACAATCTGCACCAGGTCTAGTTTTCACGTTTCGTACAGAGGTTCTCCATCTTTTACGGATCAATATGTAATCTATTTGATTTTTATATATTTGGTTCGGATGTGTCCAAGTAGATAATCTACGCGGATGATGCTTGAACATGGTATTCATTATAGAGAAATTGTTGTCTATAGAGAATTGTAACAGGCGTTCTCCTCGTTCATTCCTATCTCCAATGCCATAAGCTCCAACAACATCTTTCAGTTGTTCGTCATATGTTTTGCCGACCTTAGCATTGAAATCTCCTATAATAAGCAACGGTTCCTTGTTTGGTACTTTTTTACACGCTTCTTCTATTTTCCCATATGTTGCCTCAATTTCTTCATCTTCTGCTTCAGATGTCGGCATATACACTTGTATTATATGGAGACACATAGGTTTAGCATTTACAGAGATCTTAATAATTCTGTCATCGATAATTTCGTACGATGTAATGTGTTGGGCTATTTTTTTGCTAACAATGAACGCTGTACCGCATCTCGAAGAAACACTATCACCAGTTGTAAAGATCTTATGATGGTCTGTTTGGAAATGTCCTGTACTTTTCCAGTGTGTTTCAGCTATGCCACAGATATCAATTTTTTGTTTTAATAACTCTCTCTCTAGCAATTCGAGTTTTCCTGCTTGAAGTAGACCCCTAACATTCCATGTTGCTATGTTGATGTTGTTATTTCTGAGTTTGATTTTGGAGACGGTAGCATATTTTGCATGCAGAGCCCGCTCCTCCACTCCTGCATGCCCGGTAACCAATTTGACACTCTCCAACCCGGAATCAGAGTAGCGCCGATTGCTAAACGGGTCACATAGCTTTCTTCTATTTTTCCTTTTCATTTAAACATAAGTGCTTTCGTGGGAATTGTTGTAATCAGGTGGTTTCCCCTTGCCTGCCTGATCCTGTGCCGTTGACTTCCCCGGGAAGTTCCTCCGCCTTTGGGAGTGATTTCTCACTCCCAGGACATAAGGATGCCCTGTCCAGTAAACTGGTCCGGTTGCTTATCCCGACAACCACTCGGCCCCATCTACGTTAGCCGGTCCTGAAGACCGTTGCCCGTTCCTCACCACTGGGAGGTGTAGATTGGGATTTTCCCTTCATTGAGTCTAAGACCTGCTGGCGTTACTTAGAGCTCTCCAGTACTTTCGAGGAACAAGACCATTAAATATTGTCTGAGAATAATTTTCTCTCGATTCTAATTGTCTTATGATGGAATTGTAGCCATTAACTATTTCTTTTGCGACATTCGTTAGTTCTCTGTTTATTTTATACTGCTGGTTATTGTTGTCTATTTATTTTTTGTTTATTTATTTATCTACTTATTTATTATTATTCCCGATTCATTGCAGAATGAATTACAATAATAAACATTTTATAAAAAATAACCGACAAAAGCGGGCAAGACTATGTCAATTCGCATGCAAACAACAACTACAAATAAGTACAGATTTCTAACGAAAAAATATTTGTAAAGGTAGATGGAAAATACCAGGAACAAATGAAGTAAATCAAATCGATCATGTAGTAATATGGAAAAGCTGGGTTTCATCAATTACAAATGCGAAAACATTTCGCGTTGCTAATTGTGATACCGACCATTTCCTAGTTGTTACATAAATGAGACAAAGCATATCATATATAGTAAAAAGAGGAGGAACCAAAAAATTAGACGGGACAATGATAAATATGAGCAAACCATATCAAAGAACAATATCAAAATGTCATGAAAAATAGAAATGGAATGGTTCGACGAAGAATGTGAATGTTTTATAAAAGACAAGATCAGAGACAAACTACGCCTACCAAATATTGTCGAATATTTTATATTAGAAAATTAAGCCAATATATGAAGAACAAATTGGAGAATATCAGGCCGGTTTTAGAAGCCAAATTAGTTACATTCCATAAAATGTAATCCATAAAAACTTATGTATATACATACATACTTAGTCAATTTTAGCCTGTAATTTTCAAAATGAACATAAGCTATTATTGACATAGATATGTATGTTTATTACTAAATTCACTGACAAAAACGCCAGCTGATATTTTACCCTTAGAAATATTTTTATCCATAATCAAGTTTTTATTTTCATAGTGAATAAAGCTGACCCAAACTACTTTATTGTTATTTTTGTGTACATTTTTTATGATGCTAAAGTCTGCTAACCTTTAGAGAAACTTTTTCTTCAACCAGGCATTTTATTTGAAATTCAAAGAATATAATTCTTGAATGAGAGCTAACAGATGAGAGAGCAATAAATTAGTATTGTTATTGGTAATACTACAGTATTTAATACTAATAGTATT